CTAAATACATAACTTCAAAATATCTAAAAATCAGTGTGAGGAGGCCCTCCTTGGTGGCGCAGCGGGTTAAAGCACAGCACTAAGAAGCTTAAGCCACTTCCGCATGAGTTTGATACCCGCCTGCCCTGGAGGAGATCCACATGGCTTGGCAGACCTCTCCTGACCTGCCAGCTGCTCCCCTCAGCAGTGTACTTCGATGATCTGCCTGTTTTACTCCCCACTCGGTCCCTGGTGAATCCTCTCACCCTCCGCATCTCTAGCCTGTACCCCAGTTCTGTATGAATAAATAAATAAATCTTTAAAAAACAAACAAACAAAAATGTTAAAAAATAAAATCAGTGTGAGGAAATATGCATATTTTCCAATTAAGCTTATTTAAATAAAGTTTGGTTTACATAATTATATTTGGTTTTGGCATTATAGGTTCAAACCTCTACAAATGTATATTCTCACCAAGTTTCCACCATGTTCTATTTGTACCATTTCCTGTCCATTTCAGCCCTGTCACCTTTTTCTTCCTTTGACTCACTTTTGCAATTAGATGTCCAAAGCGTATTATTGGCGTGGCCTTTTCTGATTTTTTCTTTTCTTTCTATGTATCTAAATATTCTATACTTTGTCTTTCTCCTCACTTATTAAACTAAGGTTTATCATCTCCAATCCAATCCATGTTGTAACAAGTGACAAATTCATCTTTTTTTTTTAATAGTTGAATAATTAAATTTAGTCTGCACACACACACACACACACACACACAATTTACCACTAAGGTATATGTTCTTTTCCTATTTTTTCCTCCATAATGATTTAAGACATCACATATTGGTACTTTATACTCATTAAATATAACTCATATTGATAATTTCCTCTATTTTTGTCTCTATTAATTTTCTTTCTTTGATATGAGAACAAATATTGATATAATGCAGTCTTTCACTAAAACAATCAAGAAAATGGCATGTTTATACTTACACTTATTTTTGATGATACCTAGCTCTACTTGGTGGCAGAAACATAAAATATATGGGCCCTCCCTGTTAGCACAACAGGTTAAAGCACTATGAAGCTGTCTGCAACCACTGCAGCATGAGTACAATCCCCTGCCAGAGTCCAGCCAGGGAGCTGACTCACAAGGTGTGACACCTCTCCTGATCCACCCATTGCTCCCCTCAGTAGTTTATTTCAGCACATCTGCCTGTTCTGCTCCCCAATCTGTCTCTGGTGAATCCTCCTACTGCCCACACCTCTGGCCTATACTCCAGTTGCATGCTTAAATACATAAATCTTTAAAAAGTGTGTTACTCCAAAAGAGTAATTTGGGATAATGTCATTTTGAACAGAAAGAAATCTTTGATTTTCTTCTAATGAACAGTAGATTTACAGGAACAGAGAAAAATCTTTTTTTTTGTTTGTTTTTGTTTTTGCTACTAAAGAAAATTAGTTGTTTTTTTTTTTTAAAGTTTTTGCTTTAAAAAAAACTTCTTTCTTGGAAAATCATTAAGAGTAACAAGGATCCGGGCCCTCCCTGGTGGCCCAGTGGGTTAAAGCACAGCACTAAGACTTTAAAGCCACTTCAACATGAGTTCAATCTCTGTCCCAGACGTGACCACATGGTGCAGCAGACCTCTCCTGACTTACCTGTTGCTCCCCTCAGCAGTGTACCTCATCAGTGGGCCTATTCTACACCCCACTCTGCTTCTGGTGAATTCTTTCACAACCTCTGAGCCTCTGGCATGTACCCCAATTCTGTATGTATAAAGAATAAATAAATCTTTTTTTTTTAAAAAAAGAATAACAAGGATCCATTCTGGATAACCAATTCCTCCCACCCATAATATATATATATATGATGTCTTTATTAAAGAAAAAAATAAGTATTTTATTTAGCAATGAATAATGTCTAGCTACTGAATTGTAATTTAAGATAATATTTAGTGCAAAAGTTTCACTTATACTTTACTATATATATAATTAGCAAGATAAATAATAATGTTTTAATGAATTTTACTTGTATAATTTTAACTGCATGTTTTATATAATTTATTCTGAATAAATTAAAATTCAGAAACATATACCAGTTACATGTTTGAGAGATAAAAACCATAACAATGATAAGTCATGCTATTAAAGACAGTATTATAACTGGTGACTGAAGCCAAAGACTGTTAGAAGTGGTGCCTCTTATAAGGGATTGATGGTGGGATAGATAGCCCCAAGAAAAATGTAAACAGTATCATGTTTTTGGATGGAGCAACTGATAAGAAATATAAGAGACTGGAGAAGCAGTGGCAGATTATTCAGTAAAAGGTGGGAGACTTTGCAAGTAGGTGAGTGAGTGAAACTCTTTCCAGTTTTGGTGCTGTTAAAGCCTAACAGAGAAGGCCTAGAGCCAAAGCCAGGCACCTCACTGAGCTGCATTAGTCTGGCTGTCAAGTCATTCAGCTGTTTCAGCTTGTCTGGTGTGGTAGTGGGGAATATCAGCTGCTCCTGAAGCATCTCCTATTGTGTCTTCTGTTGTCTTGGTGAGTTGGAACCTGGCTTATAGTCTGTCTCTGTATGTTTGCAGTAGCAAGAAGATGCCATCTTGGGCATCTTGGGCACATGGCCTATTGTTCAGGAAACGAGGTCAGCATCCTCAGTGGTGGGAAGATGCCTTCTTAGCTGTTTTTGTTTAGGCATTTAAATCACTGGACACTACTTCAGGTGAGGTGAATGGCCATTTTTTGGCCTCATTGTTTTTACATTGTGTTTCCATCATTTGTTAAATAAATCCCATTGATGTTGTTTCCTGAGACTGAGTAGTCTTGCAATTGTGCACCTCAGTGAAGAAATAGTAAACTATTCAGGCAGTGTCCTTGGCCAATTTTACTGCCCCTTTATGCCCTGTATCACTATCTTCAATGGTTTTCATTCTTTGAAATTAAATTAGGTATGAACATGGTAATGTCCTGATAACACCTTCATTTCCATTTTCATATCACCATATTTTATTATAAAATATCTCAACACAAGATATAACCCAAAAATTAATTAGCTCAAGAAGAGTTCCTATCAGTTCAATTAATAATATTTAATTTGTTGCTATTGTTAAACATGAAACATTCATTTCCAGCTATACTAATTTAATAAAAACATAAGTATTATTTGCTTTATTTCCTTAAATAATGTGATTAGAATTTTTATTGTGATTACATTTCATCTGTAAGTTTTTTTGGTAGGATGGCCATTTTGAGAATATCAATCCTTTCAATCCATTAGTAAGTAATATGTTTTTCCATTTCTTTTTTCTTTTTCTATTTATTTTCAAAATGTCTTAGAGCTTGCCTTATATAGATATTTTAATACATTTGTCATTTTTACACCTAGTTTTGGGGATGGATTTTTCTCAGAGCAGTTTCCTGGAATAAATTGCAATTGAGCCAATATTAAAATGTTGTCACTTTACACTTTATTTCACACAATAATTAAATATTTTGGGTAAAAACCAATTTCACTTGTAAGCAGTCGTGAACACCTTTGTTTCCCCCACATCCACCGCCAAGATCTACAGGATGGAACTGAGATAAAGCAAGGTATCTACAATAATCACAGCACTCAGCACTCAATCCTAATTACTCTCTTGCTAACCTCTTGCAAATCACTACCGCGACTGTCCTCTCAGTGGTGCAGCCACCAGAACCGGCCCTCGATGCTAGGGTGCGGCGATGGTGCTCTGGTGTCTTGAAGTTCCCTCCAGGGAGGATGAGGGTCTTCTGCAGATTTGTTTCAGGCACAAGGGACAGCTCCATCTGCAGAGATCTCGCTATTCCAAGGGCGGTTGGAACACACTCTAAGCATTGTGCCACACTCAGCAGGCACCGAAAGCAAGGCCTCTTGTCCAGGATCCAGGGCCTCAAAAACAGAGTCTTGACCATGCCATGGTAACCAAGTCCAGGTATGGTGGCCTCGAGGATAAAGTCACCTGCTGAAGGCAGTGTGTCTAGGCCCGAAACAGAGTCTTAGGGTCTTGCCCAGAGGCAAAGAGACATTGCTCGAGGGCTTTGTCCTGGCCCACGGGCACCGTAGTTCACTGATTTCTGTTTCCATTTGGTTTATTATATTTCCAGTTTGTTTATTCTATATTCTCTTGATTTTTCATTTCCTCTCTTTCCCTTTTTATATTGTAAATGCCCATTGTTTTCTTATTTGGAATTTGAATTGCTAGCTTCTGTTCATAAATTGTTATTTCTAAGGAAATTGATTTGTTTTGTGAGCTATCTCAGTTTTCTTTTTTTTAAATTTATTATAATGATAATTTCAAACTATTTATCTGATCAGAAGAACATAGATTTAGAGTTGGATTCTGAATATTTTTTTCTCTATTTGTCTTGTGTTATTCTTTATGGGAGTCATGTAGATAGATTTTGTTTTCCATTTATCCCATTATTTTCTTTGGCACTGTGCTTCTCTAAGTGGTACTATACTCATCAGGACTATTGTTGGACAGTTTGGACAACTAGTGAAGTTTTATGGGAGGCCATAAGATTGGTTGTGGCTGCTCCACCAACAGTCGTCTAGGGGGATCACCAGGAAGGACAACTAGCTAGACAGATACAGACATGACAGCACCTGAATGACTTTGATGAAGTCTCAGGCTTGGTTCAGCTCTTTTTATGTACCTTCGATTGTTTAACTTGATATAACATCAGTTTACACCACACTATATGACTTAGCAGTATAGAATGCCACTCTTTCTGTACATTTTATTATACAAAACACATCAAAAAGACAACAATACAATTAAGTTCCTTTAATTGCATACCACACATATATTCAATATGTAATTTAATTTCAGGGGACTAAATGGAAAGGATGATATGTCATAAAACACAAATTATTCAATAAGTTTGAATACTCAGGTTTCAATAGACTGATGTTGTATTTAGAAGATTGAAATGATATATTTTATAGATGTTAGGAGACATTTAAACACATTAGGAAAAAAATCATAATTTTTCCAATTAAAATATTCCTGAAATCACTTTCCCTATAGTTTCCTTTATTTGTTTGTTTCTAAGACTATAGATGATAGGGTTAAAGAATGGAGGAACTATGGTATAAAATACAGAAAGAATCATATCCATAATAGTTTCTGAAGTAACTGAAGGCCTTAGGTACATATATGAACCAGACCCTAGAAAGACAGAGACCACAAGAATGTGAGGGACACAAGTAGAAAAGGCCTTTTTTTGTTCTTTAGTTGTAAATTTCAGCACAGTAGAAAATATATGAACATAAGTCATGACAATGAATACAAAACAGCCACCACCAATCACCACAGCAAATACTAGAATTAAGAGCTTATTGTTAAAAGTGTCAGAACAAGATAGCTTCAGCAGAGAGGGTATGTCACAGAAGAACTGGTGGACTAAGTTGGATTGACAGAAAGGTAGTCGGAATGTATTTGCAGTTTGCACACCTGCATAAATGAGACCACTGAGCAGGGAAGCCAGTGTCATTTGGACACAGAATGGATAATTCATGATCACTGGGTAATGGAGAGGCTGGCAGATGGCCACGTAGCGGTCATGGGCCATAATGGTGAGGAATAGCAGCTCTGTAGAAGCAAAGAAAAGCACAAAGAAGATTTGCATTGCACACCCAGCCACTGAAATTGCCCAGTTATTAGTGAAAGAGTTGACACAGGCATTGGGAACAGTGACAGATATATAGCACATATCTAAAATAGACAGGTTCCTGAGAAAGAAATACATTGGTGTGTGAAGATTTTGGTCAAGCGTTGTGGCAGTGATGATGAGTATGTTTCCTAACAAAGTGGCCAAGTACATAAGTAAGAATAAGAGGGCATGGAGAATCCTTAACTCTAACACATCCGCAAAACCCATGAGGAGAAAATCAGTCACCATGGTGGAATTCGTCATTTCTTAAAATGCCAGTGGAACTGAAAAGCAAGAGGAATAAACTATTAAATACATAAAAGAAAAAATGGCTAATAAATTTACATTAAATAATTTATTTCAAATAATTTGCTTCAATTTTATACATTGAATTATGTATGTTGGAAAGTTCAACTA